AACTATTCTGACATAAAGTATCTTCGTTTGCTCTTTCTAAGTCATTCGAGTGGTATTAACCCACTTGATGACATCTTTCGATCGTCCTACATATGTTGAAGGCATGATGGGTGGTTGTGGACGGTCGAATCGTTATTTTTAAATAGAACGACATAATTATCGTTTTATATGAAAAGAAATGATATCTACGTCGTTATACTTGTGATTTGAATTGGAACGATTTCAAACTCGTTAAATTTGTACTAAAACAATATAAATGTCATTACTTTATTTGTGATTTTGATACATAACGATATCATTATCGTTTGAATACAAATTTGACGATATTGATATCGTTTTAGTTTAAATCATAACTAAAACTACATACATATCGTTTCAATTAAAATAAAGCGACAATTATATCGTTTATGTTAAAAATAACAATTCGATCGTCCACAACCGCTAGACGTGCATCTGACATATGTAGGATAATCAAAATAGATAATTAAGTGGGTTCGATCTCTCTCAAAAGAAACTATGAGAACATTTTTGTTCTTATGATTGTATACCACCTTCGAACTAATTTGACAGAAAGTATCTTCGTTTGCTTTTTCTAAGTCATTCGAGTGGTATCAACTCACTGGATAACATTTTTCGATCGTCCTACGTATGTTGAAGGCATGACGGATGGTTGTGGACAGTCGAATCGTTATTTTTAGATAGAACGATATAATTATCGTTTTATATGAAAAGAAATGATATCTACGTCATTATACTTGTGATTTGAATTGGAACGATTTCAAACTCGTCAAATTTGTACTAAAACAATATGAATGTCGTTACTTTACTTGTGATTTTGATACATAACGATATCATTATCGTTTCAATACAAGTTTGACGATGTTGATATCGTTTTAGTTTAAATCATAACTAAACTACATACATATCGTTTCAGTTAAAATAAAATGACAATTATATCTTTATGCTAAAAATAACGATTCGACTGTCCACGACCACCAGTCGTGCATTTGGTATATGTAGAATGATAAAAATAGATAATCAAGTGGGTTCAATCTCCCTCAAAAGAAACTATGAGAACATTTTTGTTCTCATGATTGTATACCACATTCGAACTATTCAAACAGAAAGTATTTTCGTTCACTCATTTTAAGTCATTCGAACTCTATCAATCCACTTAATGACATTTTTCGATCGCTCTACATATGCTGAAGGCATAATAGGTGATTATAAACGGTCGAATCTTTATATTTAGTTAGAACGATATAAATATTGTTTTATATGAAAATAAATGATATCTATTTCATTATCATTGTGATTTGAATTGGAATGATTTCAAACTTATTAAATTTGTACTATAACGATTTGGATGTCGTTGTCTTATTTTGTGGGTTTGATACATAACGATACTATTATCGTTTCAGTCCAATTTTGATAACATTGATATTGCTTTAATTTAAATCTTAACTAAAACGATAAATAAAAACGATAATTATAAAATGACGATTCGATCGTTCACGGTCAATCATATGTAAATTTCAATTACATTTAATATCGTAGTTATAACGTTCTAGTGTAATCACTTCTGAAACAATATGTATAACATTATAGTTACAATTGAATAGGAACGATATCATTGTCGTCGAAAATTGTATTGAAATGACATAAACGTTGTTTACTTATTCCATAGCGTGCGCTTAAACCTGTTAAACAGTGAAGTAATGTGTATTCGATATTGGAACGACATATACATCGTTTTTTGTACTTCAGGAATGAGTTCAATGTCGTTATACAAATCAGTTACGCAGAGTGTATTTGATACTGAAATGATATCGAAGTCGTTTTATATTTCAGGAACGATTTCAATGTCGTTATGCAAATTAGTGAAATAGTGTCAGCAGCTCATTTCCATTCCACATTTTTATTAAGTTGATAAGTTATATTTTACAATTTTTTGAAACTGTAATATCTTCGTCTTGACTTATCCAAATCAACTTTTTCTCGAGTTGAATAGTTCTTATTAATTATAAGCTTTAAAATGAGTACAACATCGATATACTGCATCGCTTTTTATTAAAATCTAATTATTAGATTTTAAATAAGATATAAATTTAAAAAATACTTTTTTGTCCTTTTTTTTCAAAAAATAACGATAAAATTTATTTTAAAAAATTTCGTGTGTTATAATATGTGTCTAATGAATAAATGACTCAATAATTATTTTCTACTAGTTGCTAAGTTGTGGACAATGTTAAAACTTTGGGAGCACTGGAGATCAATTACGAAAAAGAGATGACCTTAAACTTAAAAAGAAGAGTTCGAATTCTAAGGAGAAGATGATTTTGAAGAGGAAGATTTTTTAAATTTAAAGGAAGAGAATGTTGTATGCGTTAGAACATGAATTTATAGTTATTAGAGTCAACCCGATGATCAACTAAAAAAAACCACTGGGTCAATGGTTCAACCGGTGGGTTATTGTTAAATTTTAATTTTAATTAAATTTTATTTTTGAAGTGAGAATAAAATAATTTTTTGAAATGTAATATATATTTTTTGCTCATAGAAAACAAAGGACCATCACTTGACATAATGGTTGTGGAGTTAAAATATTTTCTTGCAATCCAAGTTCAGGTCACCGCTCTAACAAATTTAGAAAAAAACTCAAATCTCTTCTTTATTTTTGTTTTACAAGTTAAGGGTAAATAGTAGTATTTTGACACTTTTAAATAATTAAAACTCCTTTTATTTTTATAAGTTTGGTCAAAGACCAAGTGAACAAAATGTACATTAAAAGTGGCCATCCCAACTCATTTCCCCATGAATTTGAGACCGCCCCAAATTTTATTGACTTAAATTTGGGGGTTTCACTAATATCATTTCATAACACATACTTGAAGTGGGAATATTTAATTCAAAAATTTAAAACTCTTAATTTATTGAATACTCAAATATTGAAATAATGTCACAAAGTTTAGAACATTCAAAAAACAAAAAAAAAAAAAAATAAAAAAAAAAAAAAAAAAAAAAAAAAAAAACACACACACACACACACAAACACACACAAAATACTCTAAAAATTTTATTATTGAAGAATTTTCTAAAAGATAAATTTTATTTTACTTGCCAGCCCGCGCACTGCCCAGCCACCATCTACGTCGACCACACTGACCTGCAATGTTGAAGTTGAAGGAGTGAGTAATTTATACTTAATAGGATACGTGCGTTCAAACAATATAATAACTTTTAAAATATAAATTCATAACATTTCATACCATCATTTTATCAACAGCAATCGACGATCAATCGAATGTTCTAGCACATTTGAGAAGACCCGAAGACGATCTTACATTTCATTTCATTTCATTGGAACCCACAGGTCAATTAACGATTCATGAAATAAATCACGTCAAAAATTATAATATTACAAAGACAATCAACTTGCACAAAGTATCTTACCTTGATTGATAAAAAGACTTGTTGAAAGAAAAGCTATAATCTCACGTTCCCAACACCTTGTCTCTATAATCGTGTCAATATGTGTGCTTCCAAAAAAAATAAAATCGTCCATCTATTTATTCCCAACTTGGAGCACTCAATTTAAGGTAGACAAAAATCATCCTTAAATCATGGTAAGTTTACGTCCAAAATAAATGCAAAATTTCCTATTACCTCATAGTCAAACATTTATCCCTGTATTTGGTCCAATCAATCACTGTTTACCCCTTTTATATAAACACGTGCCGGCAAACCATGAAGATAAAAAAGGTAACTAAATTATTTAATTGGCCCTATCAATCACTGCTATCATATTCACGTATTTGCCATTCTCTTCAATCTCAAACAAGGCAACTAACCACTTCTTTAAACTAAGGTCAACTGACACATTTGCTGGGCAAGGTCATTCAAACCTTGAATGAATTTAAAAATTTATGGAATCTACTCAGCAAGGAAAAATCATAGCCTACTAGAAAATGTATCACCATTTCAAGTAAAACTACACGTGGGTGATTGGGAAAGTTTTTAAATCAATTTTAACTAAATTATAAGTTAAGGTAATACCTTTCAACCATAATAAGATGGGCGAAACTTATTCGAATTAATTATTTTTCGAGCCTAATATATATAATTAAATAAGAGCTATCTAACGAGACCAAAATTGATATACTAATTCTAGTTCTATTGAAAATAAATAAATATTAAACCCAAATAGAAATTGGATTTAAAACTTATTTCACTTTGACCCTAAATTTTATCAAAAAATATATTTTAACATATAAAACAAATACATTTTTATTCTAAAAATTTTCAGGGCATTACAATGTATTTTAAGCAAAAAACACTGAATTGAAAATTTAACATCAGAAACTTTACAATTGATTAATAACAACCCACTAAAATCATGGTCCTAAAACTACCCCACGATTACAAACATGAATAACAAAAAAATAACCAACACCAAAAAAAGGAACAACTTTAAAATAGTTAACTAAACAACACCACATTAGCGGTCCTAAACAACATGTTTCTAACACATTTCATAACGAATTTAAAACGAATACACATGAAGTACGGAATTTTGAGTGCATGATAGACTAAGTTGTTTAGTTCAACGTGTTTGTCCTGTAAATTAGTCGTCTGCTTGACTTGGGATCTTATTCTCAGACATGAGATCGCTTCTCAAAGTCGAAGGAACTCAAGGCTAGACCGACTATCCTTTTCTTAGCATCAAGATAGTCTTAAAAATGTTCCGACACAAGCACTGAAGCAGGAACACTTCTGCATACGTTTTTGACATTTTTTCAAAACTAAACCTTATGATAGATTTTATCAGAAGAATCCAAAATAGAAAATGTAGTGATTATACCCCGAAAACTGATGAACTACAGATTGCCAAATGGATTCAGAAGAAATGAACTTAGAATCTTGAAGCACCAATTAAAACGTAGATACAGATTTCTTAAAGATAAGCAAAGCCATTATTTTTGCCTACAAAAACATGTCACCGTCCTTTCACATTCATCACCAGCAAACTTTGTAAATCAAAACCTTCCACTGCAGCATTACTTTCTAGCCATGGCCGCCTCTACAATGGCTCTTTCTTCTCCATCATTCGCCGGAAAGGCGGTGAAGCTTTCACCGTCTGCCTCCGAGATCACCAGCAACGGAAGAGTCTCGATGAGAAAAACTGTTAACAAGCCAGTTTCGTCTGGCAGCCCATGGTACGGTCCTGACCGGGTTAAGTACTTGGGACCATTCTCCGGTGAGCCCCCCAGCTACTTGACCGGTGAGTTCCCAGGTGACTACGGTTGGGACACTGCTGGACTCTCAGCTGACCCAGAAACCTTTGCCAAGAACCGTGAGTTGGAAGTTATCCACTGCAGATGGGCCATGCTTGGAGCTCTTGGATGTGTCTTCCCCGAGCTCTTGGCTCGCAATGGTGTCAAATTTGGCGAGGCCGTGTGGTTCAAGGCCGGATCCCAGATCTTCAGCGAAGGTGGGCTCGACTATTTAGGGAACCCAAGCTTGATACATGCTCAGAGCATCTTGGCTATCTGGGCTTGCCAAGTTATCTTGATGGGAGCTGTTGAGGGTTACCGTGTAGCTGGAGGGCCACTCGGTGAGGTAGTCGACCCACTTTACCCCGGTGGAAGCTTCGACCCATTGGGACTTGCTGATGATCCAGAGGCTTTCGCTGAACTTAAGGTGAAAGAAATTAAGAATGGAAGATTGGCTATGTTCTCCATGTTCGGATTCTTTGTTCAAGCTATTGTAACTGGAAAGGGACCATTGGAGAACTTGGCCGATCACCTTGCAGACCCTGTTAACAACAATGCTTGGGCCTATGCCACAAACTTCGTCCCTGGAAAGTAAATTCGAAAAAAACATGAGTGTACTTGTTTTATCGACTTTTATGTAAAATTATTGTGAACTAATGGAGTACAATGTGAATTTTGAGTGAATTGATTGTTTTTACAAATTTTGTGGTTGAATTATAGCTCCTATCGATTTTCTTGTTAACAGAGATGAAAGATGACTTCCTAATAAGAGCTATCAACCCCATATCCCTTCCCTTCGTCTACTCATAAATGAAGGAGATACAATTTGACTTGAAACAATATTTGGAAATGTCATGCGTATAATCCAATTCAGTACACAACAAATAATTACACGATGTGTTGAAGAGAATAAGTAAATTATTATAGAATGATTTTCTCATTGCTAAAGTTTTCTACAAGAGATGCTTCTGCTACTTCATTGACAAGTTCACTTGCTTTTCTGGTCTTGTAATTGTCGAGATATTGCTGATAAATATATGATGCAAATCCCCAAGCTGCCAAAAATATGGAAATCACCTTCGGCCCGTCCATCTTTTCATCGAAAAAGATGGCTGCTAGAATTGGGACAACGGGTAAACTAACGGTACCAATGACATTGGCAAAGAGAGACGAAACCTCAAAAATTAACCCGACAGCTCCAATAGAACAAACCTGCCAAGCTAATGTGGTCAAAACCAGAACAATGACATATGATTCGTTTCCCATTTCAAAATTTTCCATCTCAGTCCTCAAATTATTCCATTCACCTCGAACAAAGAGAGACAGTAAGAGTACAAAAGTGGCTACCAGTGATTGGTAGATTATCATATTCAACACAACATTAAAGTTCTCTCTTTTTAGTATCTTTTGGAAGGATAGTTGTGTTATTGATAGCATCAAGGAATATAAGGCTGATGCAATGAGAGTGCATGAGAATCCTATTAATTGGTTCCTTTTTGAACCCTTTTCAGGATTTGTAGAGTCACTGCTGAGTACAAGGAGAGCTGCTGACATAGTAAGAAGAACCAGAGAATTGAGTATTAGAGGTGTTAACTTTTGTGCATTGAGAAAGAAAGAGAACAAAGCATTGAAGGCCAACTGAGTCGTGCTAATGAGCGAAAATGTGGAGACAGGAAGGTTTAACAGCCCAACTGCATACAACACGCTTGCTGCTGATTGAATTAGGCCAAGAGATATGTAGATTGTTACTAATCTCAGAGCAGAAGGCTGATTTGATAGATTCCTGTTGTTAGAGAGATCGTATTTTGGGGAGAAGTATAGAGCAAATGGAATGAGAATCGGGAATCCTATAGTTTCTTGAAGGGATTCTAGCAATATGCAATTTCCACCTTTACTATAGTACAGTCTTCCCAGGAGAGTAGCACTGGACTGGCCAAGAAGGACAAAGAGTATATAGATGATGACTAGAGTCCAATGTGTATTGGTTTTCGATTGAGGAATGAGATATTGGTCGGCTATATTTGAGAAATTTGATGGATTTCTTTCCTCATCTTCTTGAACTGTTAATACATGAGCAGAAATTGTTAGTTCAAAAATGTCTTGCACAACTTGAATTTCATTAGGGTAAACTAACTTAAATTCGACCTCAACGTACCCAACGATCTGAATTCTGACTCGTCGATTTCTCTCATCTTGACAGCATGAATACCGTAACAACTCAACAAGGCCAGTTAGAAGATAGCCGTTCTCGAGGTTAACAAATCACGATTTTCTGATGCTTCATACAATTTTGAATCATGTGTCCCATGTCCCATTTTTATGTCAGCTTTAAACGGTACGCTTGAACTTTTAGCTGATTTACTTTTCACGGCACAAGTTGCATGACCATTTATTTTTTGTTAACATGGTTTTTGTGATAATATGTGTACGCAATAACATAGCAATAAACTTTAAATGAGCAGAAACAATGTGCCCTCGACTGCATTACATTAGTAGTTGTATCGTTCAAGAAACCTCTAAAATCTCGTCATGGTCTTTAAGCAGGGTCATCTAAGCTTGAAAATTTAATTTTATTAGCAAATAAGTAAGTTTTGAATTAAGTAGCAACAATGAAAACAATCTGGATCCCTAGATATCTGGAGGAGCTTCTTTGTATGATATTAAGAAATCAATTACCAAGATACAAACCGATTATCAACAAGGAACATGTGATCACATAAAAAACCGTGGGTCAACTTTGGACAATGTCATCCCCTACTCTGTTATGTTTATCGCAAAGAAACTTGAGAGAAAAGTTAGTATAATGGCCACATACACCAAGAAACAACAAAAATTTTATGCGGGATTCGTTTGCAATTGGAAGATACATAGAACATGCTCTTTCAAGTTGAGGGAATCTGTCAAAATTTCAGGGAAGTATTGGGTCGAACAAGTTCATGGCACATTCACTATGAAAATAAATGGTTTTGATACGATACAGCATAAATGCTTTACATAAAAAATAAGATAAAATAAGGTAAAAATAGACTTGTTACTGTCCAACATTCATTGCGTAAATGCCTTATTCTTGAACTCGACCACAGCCTGATCAAAAGTGTTTTTAACATGCTGGCAGATGAGCATTAGATCCTGGCACGAATCTTTTAACACTTCACTTGCTGCATCACCTGCAATTGAATCAAAAGCTGACGTTAATGAAAGTAAACCAGTTAGACACTTAATTCGACCCAACAAGAAGACTACTACTTCATACTCATCTGTCGTAGGAGATTGTCATTTGATTCTATATAAGGTTACTTTTAAACAGTAAAAATGAGTGATAAAGTTGAATGATAAGTTACATTAATCCAAGACATGTACTTTCAGTTCTTTACTTTTCAAACATGTACATTAATCAAAGAGATTAAAATGATTATTCAGAAATACTAATTAGGATGCGACAAATGCACTTATCAAACACCCGATCTTCGTTTCCAACCTGTTAAGTCTAAGTCTATCTTGTTCAAAGCAAGGCGAGATTTTGATATAGTATTCTTAAAGAAGGAAAAAAACATTTGACAAAAAATTGAGATTTTCACCTTACCAGTTGTCTGGACTCTTATATTCACACGAGCATCAGAAGGATGAGGAATACTGTACCCACAAAATGTGACTCGGGGGCTGTAACATAATACTATTCTAGGTTATTGATCAATACTTGTCTACACAATGAATTTATTGAACTAACAATAACATGAAAACACAAGTTACTTTGCAAGAAATTTATCAACATATAGACATGAACAAGGAAAACTATTCAGTGATGCAATATTATGTCGACAAGAAGTTCAAAGAATTTTGCATATGTTCTTCTACATAAGAGTGTATTTGTAAATAACCAAATTGAACAGTCTAAGATAAATTTAGCCACTATTTGGGCTCCATTTTTCCAAAAACTCATTTTCAACCACACATTTCCCATAAAATAATTTTACACGTAAATCCAAAAATTTTCCTTATATTTTTAAACACATATTCGCAAAAAGAAGAAAAATAAATAAAAAAATCACTATTTCAAAATATATTTCCCCACAAAAATGGGGGTCAAACAGGGGCTTAGTTGGTTCAATCATTACCAATAAATGGAATAGGTTGACCCATGAAATTAGTTACATTATCTAAAATGAAAATGAAATAGAATGAGTAAAAGAGAAATATCGTTTACAACACTCACAAAATTTATAGCAAACAACTAATTATCTTTTAGTAAGATTCCACAGTGCAACATTCAGGCTTCCCATAGATGGACAAGGACAATAGGCAGAAAATAACACTGAATAACTCACCATTGACTTCCAAATTTTTTAACTAACAAAAACTGCACACTGAAATTAGTGATTTAAATCGTGACAATTTAGTATTATATAAGTTCAAAAACTTCATTAATGAAGTGAATCGAGTGATTAACAAATCAGCCTTCAACGACTAGGATAACAATAGGAACATGTGTACAAAGACAAAATTCAGAATTATCTAGTGTCATATTAAACAACAAAAATAATTGAAGTAGACCTCACTCTTGGCTAAGAGTAAATCTGAGAGAATTTGCTAGTGTATGATCCTCATCTGTCAATGAAAATGTCGCTTGTGATTGATCTTGATACGAACCGTGCTCCATCAACTCTAAAAAAGAATAGAAATTCACAATTTAGATTTCAAAATCATCATAAAACATGAATAGTGTTAAAGGCTTAATTTTCCTCAAATAAACAATTTTAAAACACGAAAATACAAAAAAAATATGCATAAAAAATAAAAACCATCTTGAAAAATCATAGTATAACGATTTATTGCAAAATAAAGATAAATTAGCTTGATAAATTAATAAAATATTAACTCCGTAACTAGTCAAAACAGTAATCAAATAAAAAAGATTAACAATCCACAATCAAAACTAGAAAAACCTATAGAATTATAAAATTAAGAACAAATAAATACGTACTAATGGAACTGGCACCAAGCTAATATGGGGTCGTCAAAATCTAGTTTTGGTAATTGGTACCCAGCCGTCATGAGGAATACCTCAAAAAACCACATAAAAAATTCAAGAATATGAAAAGCACTGCTGCTCAAGGAAGACTACTATTAAAAAATGGCAAATAAATAAATTCTAAAAGACAAGAATGCGATAATCAACATAAAAAGCCAGTCTTTATGAAAATAAATCTGATACTACCTTCCAAGTTTGTCGATGGCAAATAAATAAATTCTAAAGAGATAGACGACAAGAATGGCGATAATCAACATAAAAAGCCAGTCTTTATGAAAATAAATCTGATACTACCTTCCAAGTTTGTCGATTAACAAGTTGAGTAGAAATCGCTTCAACACAAGTTTGAGAAACCCTCCCCTCCTGTTCCTGTTGCACTAACGGGCCTGAGATATGAATCAGAAATATACCAATAAGATAGGCTTCTATTTGGGCTTTACATGGATTTCAAGAAAGGACTTCTGTCGAGTTTAATCAATTCTTAGACATTTAAAAAAAAAAGGACGACGACGACGACGACGACATACCACACAAGGAAAAACTTTGATTAACTTTATTTTCATGAAAAACATATTTTTTTATTCAAACTTTTACCGATATATCCCAAATTAGTGTTTCTTCTTATCCAATAATGCCATGCGCTCATGAAATTCTCTTGAGGGCGTCTTCCAGTGACCAAACTAGTTTGAGTAGGGCTGATCCTTTATCAAAAGTTTCAATGAATTTGATTGATATTTTTAATGGTATAACATAACTTAAGTTAAAAATTAAGTCAATTAAACGTATTTAATTGAGAACTTCTATAAAGTTTTAGACAATTGAATGCCCAGAACTTATTATTTTATGCAAGTTCCATGCTTATAGATTACAATCAAACACACTATAAATGTTTCAAAATATGATTTAAAAAATAATAAATTTGTGAAAAAAATAAAATAAAAACAAAGTGGTCACATTTTGTGACATTTGATAAAATGGCGTAACATATAATTTAATTAAATAGATCACGTCCCAATAATACAATTTAAAGTCACGATCACATTAGTTACAAATTACACAAGGTCAAGACTGAAACATACAACTTATGGGTCATAATTATTTATTTAATCGCAAATCACATATTTTAATAAGTTACAAATTATCAAATTAATCGATCATAATCACCTTTATTTTACCCACCTCACCTCACCTCACCTCATCCCACCCTACTTCACCATTGCTACGCCATCCAAGTCACCGTCATTACCATCTTAAATACACAACCCACTATCACCATCTTCACCTCAAATCCACAACCACCACTACGACCCACGCTTCTAACACACCACTTATACCTCAAATTCACCACCACCATCTCCAACCAACCACCACATGCACCTTAAATTTACAACCATCATGCTACAACAAATCTCTACCGTGTTTAGTTGACTAGTGACGATGACGGGATAGAGTGAGAAGTAGAGGGACATCTAGATGGATACAACCATAAGCAGTGACACAACAGTAGCGATAATAACGAGAGAAGCAGAACCGGACACTCACAATAAGGGGGTGGGGCCACTTTTTTTGGAATTTTTTATTCACTCGGTTTCTACACGCATGTGAGAGGCTGTCAAGACTTCTGTCACTAGTTTTCGATCAACTCAGCTTAATTTTTTTAAAATTGAAACACTTGATTTTCGAAATTGAGGAGGCCCATCCTACATTAAAAGCTCATTTTGCATTAAAAGCACATCAACTCTTAAAACTCTTAAAATTAAATTAAAAATATTAAGTAGCAGAGCTTATGAAATTTGTCAATAAAGAGGATCCAAGGTTCAAGAAAATGATAAGTGCACTGTACGAGAAACATCATGCTTTTAATAATGAGAACAGATAATCATCCTGATAAATAAGGGAAAATGAAGCTGAGTCGAAACCCACTCAAGGTAGAGCTTCTCATAGAACTACAAAACCAAGATCTAAGAGAATAAGGAGATGACGAAGTCCAAGAAGCAATTATGTTTACGTTTTTCTTATTTTAGTAATTATCTCATGATTTTAGCATTTTCTGCAATACAAGCTTTGGGGGGTTTTCAACAAGCAATAGAAGCGGCAAGCATTGCGGCATCAAATTGGAGAAGAATTCCTAGATTTAAACTGAAATTGGGAACCCTTCTGGGGATGCCCTTGTTGAAGGCATGTTCTTTCTGATCAATGGGCTTATCATTAATGTTATCGATGCTAAGTGAAGGTGTTACAGTTTGACTACAGGAAGTGACCTGTACCTGAAGAGTTGCTGGTTCTACATTTCGATAGTACAATCTTGTGGTATGGACACGTATTCCACTCATTAATTTTGGCAAAAAAAAAAAAGAATTTGGGAGATTATGCTATGCTGGTAATACAACTACCTATAGAAGTTGAACGGACTCAACCAGTACACAAGCCCCTTTCCTTCTTGCAGTGCAGGTTAGCCCCATGAAGAACACATTCATCGGTGCAATGGCTGGTTCAGTAGTCTGATCTTCCTACAGATTGTACAACTTGGGAGGACGCTAATTGAATTAACTCCCAATTTGGGAGGCTTGTCACGTAGGAAACAAATGGGGAAAAAGGAAGAGCAAACCAAACTAGCAGAAGAGGAAGGAAGAAGACGACCAATGGAATTCTTGCCAACAACTGAAAGAAGAGAGACAGCGAGAGAGAGGAAGAATGGGAATTGTTAGGGTTGTGTAATTGTAATTGTTCACATCTCAAATTAGGTTTTGAGAATTATCCATATATATATGCGTGGGTCGGGTCACGTTAACTAGGTTTCCATGTTGCAACGTTTACCATCCTTTTCGCAACATTTAACCTCTTTCGCAACGTTTGTTAAACGTTAACAAATGTTGCGAAAGATTAACTTTTAGCAATATTTAAGAAACGTGTCTTTTCGCAACGCTTGGTAAACATGCTAAAATAAAAATTTTCACAATGTTTATTAAGGGGCATTTGCAACATTCACTTAAAAAAATATTGCCAAATCTTAATTATTAATACCAATGGCAACATTTACTTATTAAAATGTTGCAATAAACCATTTTAGCAACATTTAATTAATAAATGTCGTCTTTTACATGTTGCAAAAAGACATTTTTGTTGTAGTGTACACAAATTCACGAGAAAGAAGTCCAAGAGAAATTTTGAAGTTCGGAGGAAGAAGAGAAGAAAATTCGAAGTCCTTACCGTTGTTATTTAATAACAAGTAATCTCTTGGGATTCTTTTGCAATTGGAAGATATATAGCACTGATAGAATCTATTAATTTTCACGGAAATATTGGTTCGAACGAGGTTCAAGTTTACTTTTTCTGGGTGAGAGAATATCAAATTTCACCAACACATAATTTTGCTCTCTCTCTTGTTTCGTAGCCAATACATTTATTAGTGTTAAGAACTATAAAGTAAATATTAGAAGGAATTTACCTAATCCTCAAACATTACAAGTAACTATAGCTCAAAGATTCTCTGTTAATTACACCATCATACTATCACATAATTTATGTAATTTTACATGAGCTTAAACATTGTTCTATCGATCTACCCATGATCCCCTTCATTATTTATTAACCACAAAAGGTCAAATTAGTTTTCGCCTTCGGATTTTGTTTTAGCCTTGGTCTTCAGATCCTCCAGATAATGCTGATACATATAAGAAACAAACCCCCACATGGCAAGTACCATGGATATTGCCTTCAATCCATTAAGCCTGTCGTGGAGAAAAATCACAGCCAAAACTGGAGCAATAGGCACACCCAAGACACTAATAAAATTGGAAAACAATGAAGAAACCTTAAATATAAGCCCAACACACCCAACATTAAAAATCTTGCAAGAAACTGCAGCCCAAAACAAGTTCATAACATATGACACTTTCCCCAATTAAAAACCCTCCATTTCTGAACTCAATTTCCTCCAATCTCCACTTGCAAACAGCCCTATTAGGATTGCAGAAGTAGAAACCAAAGACTGGTAAACCAACATGTCGATTATGGCACGAAGAGTTTCTCTTTTGATGATCTTGTGAAAGGCAAGTTGTGTTACAGACAGCATTAGAGCATAACCAGCAGATGCTGCTAATGTGCAGACAAAACCTAGTACATAATTTCCTTTCGAGGTTTTGTTCGCCTCTCCACTAGTGTCTGTTTCGAACACAAGGAGGGTAGAAGAGATGGTGAGGAGTACTAGAGAGTTCACTATATAAGGAGTGACTTTTTGTGCATTGAGGAAAAAGGAAAATAATGCATTGAATCCCAATTGGCTAGCACAAATTAAATTATAGGTTGTGACAGGAAGATTTTGGAGTCCAATTGAGTACATAAGACAAATAAAAGCACCAAAAATGCCTAGGATAACATAGATTGAAGCTAGAATTTGTTGGAAATGGTGTTTATTAATAAACCAATTCAAAAATGAATGAGAAATTGTGGTTTTGGAATAGTGGCACCTGTTTGGAAGGTTGCATGGTTTGGCTCAAATCCTTTCATCACACCACTCCATTCTCTATATAAAGGACCCCTTGGATGACTTTGAGAGTACACCATTTGCATATTGAGCATTCATTCTTCTCAAAATTGCAATTCTCTTCTTCTTCATCTCTTTTCATATATTATATTCCTTGTAGAGGGAAAACACCGTCGAAAGTTCGCCGGATTTGTGGTTTGAAGTGCTACTACCACAAATCGAATCCGTTGTATCTTGGGAGACAATTGCCGCCAACCGTGAGCACCGTAGCGGGGCAATATTGTCTTAAGGAGA